ATCTACACAAGTTATGTCCCAAATTGACAGTATTAAAAACAAAAATGCAAAATTTGAAGTTCTTACTGCAAAATTCCCAGAAGTCTCAAGAATTTGTGATATAGGAACCTCTGGAAGTGGGGACAAACTCAGGGTTAAAAAACATATGATTAGGGATGGGAATGTAAAACATACAAACATCCTTGTCTAGCATGCAGGAGGCCCTGTGTTCTATCATCAGCACTGGAGGGAAAAAACAAAACAAAAAGTCAGTCTGAAGGTGTTTAAGAAACAGCTAACTGTTTCAGGCTTCTTCCTCTTCCCCACACAACTGGGCGCTGCCCTTGATATTCCTAAAACCATAAAAGTTAGAGCTTTATTCTCATGGGAGGCCAAAGGTAGAAGGTTAAATAAGGAATATCAGATCCAGTTGAGAGCAGGGATACTCTCTACCCAAACTGACCTCCAACCCCTTTTGCTGCCACTTGCCTCCCAGGGTGCTGATAGCTGCTAAAACCTTCTAGGAATGAGATTGGAAGCACCTTCTCTGGGAATCTGATCAACCCTAGAGAAATTACCTATATTTTGAAAAATGAGCTAAAGATAATACAGTCGTGGGGATTCCTTAGTGAAAAGACCCATCCCATCCTAATTGAAGCACTCAGTTGATAAGCACAATCCACTGCACAGGGCTCACAATCCTGATCAGCTTTGAGTTAAGTGTGAGTATATAACCAAAATTCACTAGAAATATAAACTTTTAGGTATTTAATGCATAGAATAAAGCAAACTGACGACTATGCAAACAGAAAGAAAAACTAATAGATTATTATTATTCCCAGAGAAATAATAAGACTCTAAATTGGAACATTCAGAGAACAACAACCTTCTTGTCAGCTTAAAAAAATAGTAGAAATTAAACTCAATAGAAAGACTGAATGGTAAATGTGAAAAATTTCTCAGAAAGTAGAATAAACACAAACAGAAAACAAGAAGGGAAGATTTTTAAAAATCTTGACAGGGTCAAGGGGATTAAAAAAAATAATTCAATAAAATTTCCTAGAATTTAAAAGCATTAAACTTATCAGTAGGAATAAAAGAGCATCATATCCATAACATTATAAACTGTCAGAAAACTAGGAGAAGGATAAAATTCTATAGCAAAGAGAGCTAAAGGCAGAGAGATTGGAGAATAATGATATAAGGCTTTTGAATTCGAGGGAAAATGACTTCCATCCTAGAATTCTATACCTAACTAAGCAATCAATAAAGATTTTCTTTAGATGTTCAAAGTCTCAAAGAAATTTACCTCTTATATTCCTTTTTTTTTTTTTTTTTCAGGAAGTTACCAGAGGCTAGGTCCAACCAAGTACGGGAGCAAACTAAGAAAGAGGAAGACACAAGATACAGAAGTGGTGGATCCAACACAGGAGAGAAACAGGGAAATTCCAGGTTGATGACTTTAAGAGGAGGACCCAAATGTAAGGCCAGTCCAGGGAGCAACCAGTCCAGGCTGTGACAGGCTAGAAGGCTGTGAGGGAAGTTGTTCAAGAAGATGAACTTTTTTTACCCCGTATACAGATTGCAGAATCACATCAGTTACACATCCATTGATTTACATATTGCCATACTAGTGTCTGTTGTATTCTGCTGCCTTTCATAACCCACTTGAATCAAAGTGTGAAATATGATATATCAAGAACTATGTAATGTTTTGAACAACCAACAATAAAAAATTAAAAAAAAAGATGAACTTGATAAAATACTTATGTGTGTGAATATATCACATAGACATTTGCACATTTTGTATGAAAGGAGTTTGGGGATAAAGGAAAACAACATGGAATACATAGAAAATACAAAAAACTACAGAACACATCACAGTCTAAATTGGTTTAGCATATAACAGGCATGATAATCTGGACACTGAACATGGAACCAACCAAAATAAACACATTGGGAGTAAAGTTTAGAGAAGGGTGTGTGTGTGTGTATGTGTGTATATGTTTGAGGCAATAAGAAAGGAGAGAACTAAATTCTCATATTCTATTGTAGAAAGATCATAGAGCCCAAAACTTAAGAATTAAGAAGTAGCATTATAAACTTGTTAAGGAGTGACAGAGAAGCAAATACCAGAAGACTTAGATGAGTTAGGAGAACTAAAAATGGAGGGCTTTAGAGAGTAGGCAAAGTGGGTAAGAAGGATAGAGGGACTGTCCACAACCAGCTCTGTGAAATCATTTTCTTTATGTATTTAATTTAAAAACATGAAAAGATTCTCTGACACATTTGCTAACAGTTTCATCAATAACATTCAACAACTATTTCCTAGCTATTCATTACCAGCTGCTGGGTTGGGACCCCTGTCTACAGACAAGGATGGTCCAGTGATTACTGGATGTGGCACAGTGTACAGCAGTCCATGAGAGAAGGGGATGGGAAATATGGCTGTACAGAACCCAACCTGACATTCTGCTGTTTGTACTTACCTAGGCACAGACTGATTTCAGAAGCTGGGCTGAGACTCAGCCAAAGGTTGGGCAAGAACATCTGTAATAGTCCAACAGACAAAGAGGCAAGGGCAGCAGGAAGTGATTAGGTACCGGGAAGAAAACTAACATTAGAGAAGATGAAGAAAGAGCCCAATAAAGGAGTTTCACTTTGGTTATTAAGGCAAAGATACTCAGTGACACTCAAGGAAGAGGCAGTTCTTTTAACATCCCCTATTGTGAGAAAACACAATATTACTGCACAGCAATTCTTTTCTCTGGCCTGCTTTATTACTCTCATTCTAGTCATTTACAATTTTCTTAATGCCAAGTTTATTGACTATTTCTCAGTATTCTTCTTTTGACATCTAACTCTTTTGACTTTAATGATTGGTCTTGGTTCTTGGGGCTCTGTGCTTAGTTAAAGTGTTTATGGGCTGGTGGGACAGAAACAGTAGTTTAAAAATGTGAGGAAATAATAATGCTAAAATCAATATCAACAGTGATCACAATAACACAATCAGTGGGACACTAGCCACTGTTAAAAGACAGAAACACACTGGCTCCAGTGGTTGCCTGGAGTTTATAAACAGAAGGACAGCTAACTTTCTTTTGGATTTCATTGGCCACCATAAGTACATGTAACCCAAAGACCCAAGTCTTGTCCATAGATTTTCTTTTTTGGCCAGGGGAAAGCGGGTACCAGGGACTGAACTCAGGGGCACTCAATCACTGAGCCAGATCCCCAGCCCTATTTTGTATTTTACATAGAGACAGGATCCCACTGAGTTGCTTAGCACCTCATTTTTGCTAAAGCTGGCTTTGAACTTGCGATCTTCCTGTCTTAGCCTCACGAGCTGCTGGGATTACAGGCGTGTGCCACTGTGCCCAGTCATAATATATTTGTTATTTATTTATAACCTGACAAGTACAAAGAGGCTTTTTTAGAGTGATATATATGATAAAATTCAAATGTGGGTTAGAGAAATGAGATAAGATCAGCACACAAAAGGCAGAATGGCATATAAATATACATAAATACACACACACACACATATAATACACACACACACACACACACACATATACCAGCATTTAAAGCAAAGTGAAAATCACTGCAACTGCTTCTCTAATTGAGGTACCTGTAAATATTAAAAATTTTTAGATTTTCAGAGCAGTTTATAAATCAATATAAAAATCTTTATAATAATATTGATAGATAAATGTTCAATGACAAAAATGTATTCAAGTTTCAGTATTCATAATTTCAGTATTAACAATTGTGCTAAGCATACAAATGTGAGATTTAATTATTTTAATATAATTATTCTAATTATTTGGAAACCAGACTTGATTTAAAAACTATTTGGAATAGTAACTTTTCAGAAAACAAATTATAACACTCTTAAACAACAACTAGACTATCCTACAGTATATTGATAAGAGAAACATATACCACTACCTTGTACTTGAATCAGAATTAAAATACAACTATTTTTATTCATTCTCTTAAAGAAAAATTCATGCAAGGATGACACAGAAGTGGGAATGAGTCAGTAAGCTGTGCCTACAGCAATTATGCTTGTTTTGCAATGCCCAAATCATTTCTAGAACATGCCACTTTCATGGTACACTGATATAGAAAGTCTTAGTAAAATCAAATTATTTCTAATAGTCCCTTAGCATTTAAAATGAGGCCTACTTAGCTAACTCACATGAAGCCAAGCTGACCCACATAGACGTGGATCTGTTAAAATCAAAATGCTACCTGCAGATGAAAGCACCTTGGACACCTCCATTTTTTTTTTTTTTCCTCAGCTGTCTCTGTGAAACTTGTTGTAGGGTCTGATTTAACTCTCAACTTTCTTCTAACTTATGTCATGTTCCTCCATCTCCACTTAACCACTAAACTCATCTTCTGTAACATAAGTAGCTCTTGAAATCCCCCTTTCTTCCAAGAAGTTCCCCCCGACTACTTGGAATAGCCTTCCTTGAACTCCCTCATTTGGGTATGGGGTTTTTATGCTATACTTCCCTCCATTCTCTGAGCCATAACTTATTCCTATGTTGCTGAAGTTTATTAGCCTCTTGCACTTATGTGTTTCCCTTGAACTGTGTCCTCAGCTGGGAGGAAGAACTGGAGTAGTAGTAAGGCAGTAATGAGGTCAGGAAGCCAGAGGGTATGAGTGTGAATATGGGTCCTGCCACTTACCAGTCTTATTGTCTTAAGAGAAGTCACCAACCTCTCTATGTTTAACTGGACAAAGGAGGTGACCCAGCCTACAGTTATCATAAGCTGTTGTGAGGATTAAACAAGGTAATGTAGTACAATAGCAAGCATGTGGCAAGTTCCCAACAAAAGATTTAGTGGGACACCTGATAAATGCTTGCTGACAATGACTTGACAAACATAGCGTAGACCAGCGTTTAAATGTTTATTTTTGAATTAAAACTAGACATATAAGCATTTTATAACTAATGAAAATGTTGAAATAGACACTTGGGTAAAAAAAATGTTAACTGAACTACATCTCAGAGTGAAGAAAGATTCTTTATTGGCTGAACATACTGTACTAGATATTTAAAATAACACAAACATTCAGGATTGCAGTTTTATAATTTAGTTCACAGTCATGCTAGATACAATGGTTAACACACTCAGGAAAGACAACTTTCTGCATACATTAATTTATCAAGCCACGTCTGTAAAAGATTAAACTTTTAACGTTCAGTTATTGTGAGTCCACCCAAACATCAAATTAACAAATACAACATTTACTTATTTCACATAATTCTGTATATTGCTATACTGTGCTCTAAAATTACTTGTATTACCAAAGACATTTATTCCAGCAATTGAAAAATAGAATTCTGTATCACCTACAGAAAAATTTGAAGACCTTGACAAGTAAACCACAATTGGAAACTGTTTTCTGAAACAGAGGGTAAAATGGAGTTAGGTTAGAGAAGCCACTTTGTCACAGTGACCTGAACCTATTCTGGTAAGTCCAGTCAGTAGTGAATCACTGCCTGCTGACCCAGGGGTGTCTTTTTCAGAAAACACTGACTATGCCAGAGTAGCATCCTTTCAGCTCCAGGGCAAGATTTTTCAAAGGCTAAGAAGTGGTGGAGAAAGTAAATCACTAGAATCAAAAGCAACAGGCAGGAGTGCCAGCTGTCCCCATGTGCCTGGCTTATTCTTTAGGTGACATTGAAGATGGTGCTGACAGTGCCTGTGAGTTTGGCATAGAGTCTGGCATTCACATCCCATCATAGACAACACACAGGTCCTTAGGAATCAATGACACACCAATGCTAAGTGACACACATCGCATACATCAAATCAAAAAGAATGAGTGAGAACAACAACAACAAAAAAATGCAAAAGGTGTTAAATATTTAGTACTGTGAAAAATAAAAACTGGACAACAAAATGCAAAGTTAATTCATGAACCACTTTTTAATGCAAGACCGTAAATTTACCCCAAACCCACATGAATTAATGATGTAGGGCCATCTGTATGAAATAAGGCTTTAAAGTACAGCTATGCAGTTTAGGATAAAGTCCCAAAGATGTCTAAATATAACTTTCAAATTTCTTATCAATCTCTTCATGGATCTTATAAACTGCTGACATTAAAAGTGTATTAAATGATACATATAGAAATGCTTTCAGACATACCATGTGCCATCTCAAAACATTCCCTAAATAAGCTGTTCCTCCCACAACACTCACCAGGCAACATTTAGCTGAGGCAAAAATAAAATAAAATAAAAATAAAAACAAAGTATGTCAAACAGTCATATAGAACCTTATTAACAACAACAACAAAAGGGCACACAAAAAAATTACTGCTTGGGTTTTTCAAATACTGTCATTTTGGTTGAAAAAAAACATACATTAATTTCTAAGCTTCTGAGGTGTGGGGGGAGGTGTACAGAGAAATTGCAAACGCAGTGCTCTATACACCTAATACCTTTAGGGCACTTAGAAAGTGAATATTCTTATTACATGTTATCTTTCTGGACTGCCCTTCTTTTGCAGGTATTTATGTTTTCATCATGGTTGAAGAAGTAGCTTGGAAACAGGTAAGCTGCAAGTGCATACTGCTCTTGAACTTGTTCAGCAGCTCTTCCAGTAACCTGCAGGGAGGAGACACTATTTCACAGCCTGACAGTGAGGGTGGCTTAGCAACCTAAGCAAACAAGTAGGGAGCCAGCTTGCCGAGCTTTGCCTTCTGCTTGCTGTTTTTAGAAGGAAGCTGAAAAAGTCATTATCTATTGATTCTTAATAACAGAAACAACTCAACCAAGGAAGCTGGTCTAAAGAATATATTAATATACACATTGTGTTTATATTTAAAAATGTCCCTCCTGTCCCATTCCCCTAGATTAGATTTCTCCCCTAAAACAGAGTAATATTCGGGCCTATTTTTTAAAATTCACTCTAAACATTTTGAAAAATATTAAAATTCACTTTTTGTTATACATTTCTATGAAAGCTAACAAACACATATAGTAGTCTACGTGTTCAGGAGACAGAAGAGTTCCATCATCCTTTTGTAGTCAACCTTTACTTCTAAGCTCACACCACAGCAACCCTGACTTCTTTTTTGTTATTTTCTGTCCCTCTAATCTTCCATTTTGTCTTTAACAAATATTGGAGCATGGTGAATAAAAGTAGCAAGTTAAATACCAGGGGAAACAGGGTTAACTCTAGCTCCTCTAGGAATATCATTCTGCTATGATTCTCAATTGTTTCCCTACTTGGTCTGATATATTCACATAATTTAAAAGCTAGAAGAAACTTTAGAGCTCATCTGATACAGATGAAGCAACCAAGTCCTGAATTTCATGGTACTAAAGTCAGGAGATTGTTTCATGGTTGAACAATGCTCAATATTAGAACATTATCTTCCATAGTACATTAAAATATAGTCCTAATCTGGGATTATGTCAGGGTGTCTGTTGTTCCAGACTCAAATGTACTAGGCTTCTGAGCCATGCTCCATTTATTTAAAATAGAGGTGACTGCTTTAATCTTTTATCATATTTATTTTAAAGAAATAAATAGGTTGTTATAAATTCAGTTAGAAGTCAAAAGTTAGTGAGAGAAGAAGAAAGTAGGAAAATGGAAGCAAGGGCTGTTGGTGTGGGCACTGTTTGTTCATATATCTATCTGCCAGTGTGAGAAACACACAAGGGATTGCACTGGGGATCACATAAACTGGGTAGCTGGTCTGTTCCCCCTTCTTCTAAGCCCCGTCTACTCTCAATCTCATGTGACAGTGCCTCCTATTGGTCAGTTCCTGATGTTCTGTCTGTGCTCTGAGTTCCCACCACATTCCCCTGTGCTAGGGAGCCCAGCCAGCCCCATGTGCTTCCCACTGCACCCTGATGGATCACATGCAAAGGTGGGTGAACTTCAGCTTCAACTGGTGAGGAAGCAAAGAGCTACAGCATTTCAGTTGCTTCAGATGATGCTAAGTTAGACAGTTAGCTCCCTGGCCTAGATTTTCTCTCATGTCAGAATTCTTGTTATTTGAGTAGTAAAGTTTAAATACAGGTTGAGATCACTACTGTGGTAGTAATGAAATATATACAATTTTATGATGCCATATTATATAAATCTACTTTCTTCATAATTTTTATTTTGTAGAGAATAAAGTATACACTATTAAACTAGTCATAAAGAAAAAAAATACTGAGTTCTGCACTTTACTACTCTGCCCTCTTTATTATATTCTTAAATATATAAGCCAATAATATAGTGTAAGTCAAATGAGTTTTCTTTGGATATTTTCAGTCACTTAAAACTCAAAAAGTCTTAATTTCTAAATTATCTTAAACCTAAAAGAAAAGTCTTACCTTATTCTGTCACTTGGAAGAAAAGCAAGATACAAGTAACTTGGTACAGCTATTAAATACTGCTCCTCCTTAAATCCACATCATCATCATCATCATCATCATTATCATTTTTAAAGGTTCTTCAGATAACAAAACCTTGTTCAATACACCTAACTATCGTCTGAGGACAGCACAGAGAACTTACTTCTTATCTGCTCCACTTGCAAGCTGAGGCAGGGCTTCCAGGGCCTGTTTAAAACTAGACCTGGAATAAAAGGATAACACTTAAGCCCAAACAATTCAGAGTTCTGAGGGAATCAATTAAGAGGATCACTTAAAAATTCTTAAGCATATCTTAAGTATAAAGAAACCAATATAAGGCAGTGAAGCAAGTGGAAATATGAGAAAAAGTAAAAGTGAAAAACAACAGAAAAAGTAAAAGCAAAAGTGAGGCTATGATTACTAGACAGAGGCTTCACAGGAGCAGGGTCAGAAAGACTCAACTGGGAAATGAAACGTCACCTGAACAAAAGGGGGCTATTCATGGGAGAGGCGGGCTTAGTGTGGACATGTTCTAAAAAACAAGATCTTTTTTCTTTTTTTTTTTTTTAAACAAAACTGAACTACAGATAAAGTAACAGGTATGAGAAGAAGGAACTATAAAGAAATGGGAATAAGCTTGTAAAATATGACATAAGTAAGGACATTATAGTGTTGCCATGTATAGGGCCTGATTTACAGTCAGTATCTTATAATAACTAAACATGGTCTTCACAGGATTTAGCTATTATATTTAAAATCTGTAAGAAAATGGACAGATGTCTATATACTTTAAAAAGGCAACATAATTTCTTTACATGAAAAGGACAAAAGGAATACATTTAAGATCCTCATATTTGGTAGGCTTTTTTTTTTTGGTGTCCATTGAATCCAGGGACGCTTTACCACTGAGTCACATCCCCAGTCCTTTTTATTTCTTATTTTGAGACAGGGCCTCCTTAAGTTGCTGAGGCTGCCTTTGAACTTGTGATCCTCCTGCCTCACCTTCCCAAGTCTCTAGGATTACAGGGATGGGCCAATTGCACCCAGCTTGTTATGCTTAACTTTTCCAAGTAGAAAGTATCAGAAAAATCACTGAACCAAATAAAAAACATGTTAGGAGAAAATATTTGGTACTAAAATGTACTGTTTACTAAGAAAAAGTTCTGAGGATTTTCAAATCTCTAATGACTAGTCAAACTGAGGAAATAAATGTAATTGTTACTATTTTAAGATGTTCTGTGATTTTGTATTATAAAAACATCCTCATCAATCTACCAGGAAGTACATTTTTGAGCAATGTTTCTTAAACTAGGGGCAAGTGCTACATTAACATATAAAGAGAAGAAAAAGTTCCAACAAAGTCATAAAAATGGGCGCTGGGAATCTTTAGTTGTACCTGAGACAGAAGTGGGGGCTTGAAGGGGTCCTTATTGGTATACTCAGCCTTCCCAATAGTTATTTGGTTTTCCTCTTTCCTGGGATGGTGGGAAGGCACTGCCATTATCTCCACCATCATCTTGTTTCTTATAAACCTCTTTCAAAAAACTGAGAGAAATGCAATACTATTGTTCTTCACTGTCACTATTACAATAACAATGGATAATGATGACAAAGGTTATACTACCTAATACTTGTGGGGGCACCAACAGTTTAGAAGGTAACTTGATATATTTTGTTATTTAATCTTCTCATAACTCTGCCTAGGGATCCACATTGAGCTTCCCCAATCAAAAATCTGAAATTCAACATGCTCCAGAATTTGAAACTTTTTGAGTACCAACATAATGCCACAAATGGAAAATTCCATAGCAAGCACAAAATATATTAAAAATATTGTATAGAATTACTTTAAGGCTATGTATTTAAGCCATATATGAGACAAATGAATATCGTGTTTAGACTTGGGTCTTAGCCCTAAATACCTCATTATGGATATGAAAATATCACAAATAAAAAATAATTCTAAATCCAAGCATTTTGGATATAGGGTACTCAACCTGTATTATCTTCTTTTTCTAGATGAGGAACTTAGGCTCTGTAAATTTTAGTTCTTGGGGAGAAACAGGCACTCAGACTAAGCAGATGTGGACTGGGTGCTTTTTATCGTCTATATAGCACTTGGTGCTATATAGAAAAATGATGGTTGGGAAAAGATATGGTTGTACACAAACATGGGAATCTTCTAGAAATAAATTCTGACAATCAGGAATGAAAAGCTAACTTCATTTGTTTAGAAAAAAAATTTTTAAGTTTTTTCAGGTATAATGATATCAGTAAGAATGATGGCATAAGCCACCTTATCAACACTGGAAATGAATAAGTATATTACAGTGTCCTTAAATATTTGATTTGCATACTACTTGGCTTCTCAGGCACAGAATTACAGTATTTTCTAGGTAATATTGCAAATGTGGTAAATAATTTTGTAAAGGCAATTGGTAGCTCTGTTTCACTTCATCTACTGATATTTCAATGGTAGGAAATCCTGACTTTCATTCAAAACAGCTAAAAATTATCATCAAATTTCCACTACAAAATTTTGTAGAGAAACCACAAGGCTTCCTCTTATACTGATATTTACAACATTCGAGCTGTCCTTCTAATCTGCTATGAACAGAATAAACCTCAATTCTTCTTCGCTTCTTTTTTGAGATGTAATTCTCTACCATATAATTTATGATAGTAAGATTTATCAGTAATGAAAGAAACACATAAAATTGTATTCAACACCTTTTCTTTATTTTGTGCTACAAAGAAGTGATCTTGAGAATACTTGGTTTATTGTAGGCTCATACTGTGTAGCTAAAAAATTGATCAAATATAATCTTCAGCGCAAGTTTTTGAGCTTTTTTAAAAAGCATGTAACACACTAGTAAAACAACCTTTTTAAAAGCAGACATGAGAACACTTGACATCTTACTTGCTTTCAGGTGTCAGGTAAATGGCCACAGTATCCCTCAAAGCACAGATCTCAAGTCTTGCCTAAGATGAGGGAAGGACAGAGAGACAATAGGAAGCTGTGTTAATTTTCAAATGCACACAAGTACTGAGGGGAACAGTTTCTCCAGTCTACTACCCACAGGACAGAGTGGACATGGTGGCAATTAGTTGCAAAAAGACTTTCTAAAAACTGTATAAAGAAATTGTCTACAATAAGATTTTTGTTTTTAGCAAAAATTAACTTGAGTCAAGTATGATTATGTGCAGACAGAGAGCTTTATACCTCACATGAAAAGTACAAACCATGCAATGATTTTCCAGCAATCAGTATTTACTATCTGACTTGTAATGTGCCTGCTAGTCTGATGGTGACAGGAAGGAAACTCTGAAACAGTGGCCCTGAGGGGCCCCTCCCCCACAGTGGGGGAAGTCTAAGGACCTTGCTTTCTCAGCCAATGCCCTTCCAAGCACATGGTTTCCTCTCAAAAGCTAAGCTGTACTCTACAGATTTAATGCAATCCCTATTAAAATCATAGCTGTGCTTTCTTAAAAATGGAAATTAACAAATTGATCCTAAAATTCATATGGAAGTGTAAGGGACATAATACTGCCAAAACAATCCTGAAAAACAGGAATACATTTGGAGGACTCACACTTTCTGATTTCAAACTTACTACTGTGCTTCAGTAATCTAGTCAGCGTGGTATCAGCACATGACAGGCACTGAGATGAAAGAACAGAACTGAGGGACTGAATAAACCATTACACATATGATCAATTGGTTTCAACATGATACCAAGATCATTCAGTGGAGAAAGAAGAGCTTCTTTAACAAATAATGCTGGGACAACTGGAGGTTGAATTTCTTCTTCAGTATGAAAATCAACTCATAATAAATTATAGATCCCAACTGTAGGAGAGAAAACTATAAAACTCTTAGAAAATGGACCGAGATTGTGGTTCAGTGGTATAGAGTGCTTGCCTAGCATATGTGAGGCACTGGGTTTGATCTCCAACACTCTATAAAAATAAAAAAATAAAATAAAGGTATTGTGTCCATCTTCAACTGAAAAAATATTTAAAAAAAAATTCTTAGAAAAGGAGTTCTTATGGTTTACATATGAGCTATCCCCCAAAAGCTCAAGTGTGAGACAACGCATGTATTTCATACATGAAAATTTCAGAACAGACAAATCATAGAGATAGAAAGTTGGTGGCTGTCTGTGGTAGGGAAGGAGACTTATAAGAAAATGGTAGGAGTGACTGCTAATGAGTCTGGGGTTTTTGGTGGGTGATGAATATTATGGTGATGATTGGGCTATTCTTTGGATACACTAAAAATCCCTGAATTGTTATTCTTTTTCTATTGTAGGCAAACTACATGGTAAATGAAATTACCTACAAACAAAAGAAAAGCTAACCTAGGGTTCACTTCCATGCAAGGACACATAAGCCAGGGTTCCCTGGTGCTTCAGAACTGTACAGTGATGACACCCACATACTTGCAATGCATTCTCTAATTTCTCTGTCCTGACAATGGGCGTTGGAGAAGCATTTATAAAAAACAAAACAAAACAAAAAAACACCCATTCTCAGGAGTATAAGAAATAATGTAAAAGAATAGCAAAAGGCATAGCTAGTTTATATAAGATCAATTTTATTTAGTGACTTCTGTTTGGAAAAAAGTTGTTTGGCTTCATTTTGCAGTGTTTAAAAAACTAGAAAGCATATGAAATTTTCGTCTCTACTATTTAAATTCTAGTACAGGCAAACAACAATAACAACAACAAAAATTACAAACAGACCTAGAGGAAAATATTAAAGGGAAAAAAATGTGGTAGAATGCTTAGCTGAATATCTTAGGAAACAGATTAAACTGATGTAAAACTAATTTTCAGGTAGAAATTTTATTCCATCAAAGTGACAGGGTATTTCAATTAACCTATGAATTATGTCAATTATAAAAGCTATAGCTACTTAAATAATATACATACAATTGTAAGCCAGAAAATGTCACAATACAAGATCAGCCAAATTGTCACTCTCTTCTTGCTCTGGGGAAGGTTCTGGATATTGGCCCATCTGTAAGTGACTGAAAAATGATCCTATAGTCCCTATCCAAGATACCTGCTCCAAAGAAGGGAGTTCTAACAGTCATTCTTACCAGGAAAGGGTGAAGGTGGGAGTTTAGACTCACTTGAACTTTTTCAAAATATAAAATGCTTGCTCATACCCTCAGAGGGATTTGTAATGTCAGAGAGTAGATTAGTTATAGTAGCCAATAGTCTCCTGACTTGTACACCTCAAAAAAGCTCCCCATTGATGCTGATATTTCTTCCCAACCTTTGCCTGCTGGATCTCTGTGGGATTTAGCCATTGAGTAAATGAATTGCAGAGGTAATTTGCAGAGAGGGCAAACTTTAGTTATAATTCTAAGACTGCTGAGGGCCAGAGTAGTTACTGAATCTTCCTTCAATACTACAAAATTCACCTACTAATTATCTTTCATAATGGAACCATTATAATTATGATGACCTTTCAACTTATACTATAATATCAAAGGGCTGATAAATCCAATTTCTAGAGAAAACTGGTGGCAAATGGAAATGCAGCATAGGTTTTTGTAACTGATTTCCCTCTAACCAAATTAATAAGTGTTGTCTATCCCTTTTCCATTATATATATATATATATATATATATATATATATATATATATATATAGAGAGAGAGAGAGAGAGAGAGAGAGAGAGAGAGAGAGAGAAAATTTTCAAAAGTACAGACTTCTAAAGAATATGATAGTGACTACCTGTGTACTCAGAGGTTCTACTATTAACATTTACTTGACATACTGCATTCAGCAAAATGTTCCTGAGATTCATCGGTAGTTTTTTTCTCTTTAATGCTGAAGAGCATTTGGGTCTATGAACATATTGCAATTTGTTTATTCTGTTGATGGACATCATGGACACCTGTGCAGTTTCCTGTTTGGGGCTACTATGAAACAAATTACTATGAGCATTCTTACATGCTTTTTTTTTTTTTTGAGACAGATATTTTTGTTCTAGTTATCACAAGGTTGGAATAGCGGGGTCATAGGGTATGCATATGCTTACTTATAGAGGAAACTGCAAAAGCTTTCCTCCAAGGTGTAGTACTTTATATTCCCAGCAATGTGTAAGAGTTCCAGTTCCTCCACATTTTGCCAACATTTGGTAAAGTCAGTCTATCTTGGTGGATGTCTACTGGTGTCTTTCTGCAAAGTGAACTTTCATTTCCCTGGTCATCCTTTACTGACTCTTTTACTCTTTTGGATATCTAGTTACATACATGCTAACTAAACCTCTGACACTGTCCCAGGAATCCCTGGAGTTCTGTTTATTTTTTTCCAATTATTTTGTTTATGCTATTCCCATCTAGTAGATTTTAAAAATTTCATTCACTTTATTTTTCCATTTCAAAATTTCTATTTGGTTCCTTTTTTAGGGTAACTATTTCTCTACTGATATTTCATACCTATTGGTTCATTATGAGCATATTCTCCTTTATGTCACCAAACATAGCTGCTTTAAAATTCTTATCTGCTAGTACCAACAACTTGATCATCTTATGGTTGGTCTCAGTTGATTTTCTTTTCTATTAAGAATGGGTTATGTTGGGCTGGGATTGTGGCTCAGCGGTAGAGCGCTCGCCTTGCATGTGTGGGGCCCTGGGTTCGATCCTCAGCACCACATAAAAATAAATAAGTGAAATAAGGATAATGTGTCCAAAAAAAAAAAAAAAAGATAATGTGTCCAACTACAACTAATAAATAAATAAACAAAAATGTTTAAAAAGTTAAAAAAGAAAGAATGGGTTATGCTTTCTCCTGTTTTGTCAGTTTTTATTAATTTTAAATTTGTATCCTGGACATTGTGAATGTTATGGTTTAGAAACTTTGGCTTCTATAATATGCCTCTAAAGAGTTCATTTTTTTTTGTTTTAGTATGCAATTAATGTATCTGGATTCAAATTGAGAGCTCTTGGCTCTTGGGTAGCAGTTCCATTCTTACTTCAGTATTTTAGTCTTATCTGGGCTGGTTAGATTAGAGTTTAACCATGCATGTATATATTTAAAAGGTTCAACAGAGATTTAGGAGTTGTGTATATAGAATCTAAGGCACTTGCTTTCTTTCTCTCTAGGATACTTCCCTGTTGTTGAGGCTGCCCCAAAGCCTAATCTTTTCTATTTATTTATTCATTTATGTATTTATTATGCGTAGTTGGACATAATACCTTTATTTACTTATTTTTATGTTTTGCTGAGGATTGAACCTAGAGCCTTGCACATGCTAGGCAAGCGCTCTACTGCTGAGCCACAACCCCAGCCCGCAAAGCCTATTTTTTAAACCAGAAAGATGGCAGATTTTGGATTGAAGTTTTTGGTACCCTATAGCCTACCTTCAGGCTAAAAATCCATAAAAAATTGGGGAATTCATTCATGTTCCATTTCCTCCAAAATCTGCTTACTCACTGACACATTTGGTGCCTTGTGTCTTCAGGTGTTTTATTGTTGTTATTGTTTGTAAATTTTAAAAAATCATTTTCAGATCTTATTCACATTTACAGCATTATCTTTGGAGGGTTGGCCTGATGGAAGTTTCTTCAGCCATTATAGGAGAACTGTTATTGTTTGTTTTGTTTCTGGTGTGTGTGTGTGTGTGTGGTGCTGAAGATGGAATCCAGGGCCACAACCACTGAAACACAAATCCAGCTTGCTACTGTTTTGTTTTTTTTTTCCTTTTTAGGTTTTTAAAATTGCTTTTATTTTAAAAAGTTAGTATGTGTATAACAGGAAACAAAAACACTAGCAAAGATCAAAGTTATCCAGTCACAAGTAGCTTAGTAGGACATGTCCTTCCAGCAGTTCCATTCTTATTTCAGTTTTTATATATGTGTCCACATATATAACACCCCATTTTGTGTGATTGAGATCATTGTGTGTACTGTGCTTTTCCACACATCATGAATATTCACCAATTCAAAACCCCAAAGCTACAGGAGTATTTTGATAGCCAAGAACACACTGTTAGAACTCAATCTGTTACAAAAAAAAAACCCCCAAAAACAAAAAAACTGTAATCCTATCTTTCTTGGGGACAAAAATTTCATTGAAGTGGCAACAGGTCTCAAGATAGAAATACTCTGCTACTCTTTTTTTTTTTTTTTCTTTCAATATACTCCCAATACTCCAGGTACAAAGATAATTCATAGGCAGGGAGTTTCTCTCCCATACACCTACACATCTGCTCTCCTTGAAGTTGGCTTACATGCACACCAAGAATCAAGTGACTTGTTTATAGCAATTGTATTTATAAAATTTAAACAAATGGGACATAAACCAATGAAATGTGAGATAGCTATTTGTGCTTTCTATGTACAATACATTGAATGCTTTGAAAGATTTATAAATAAGTTGGAACAATTTTCCTATGAAATTGAATATAATGAAGATATGCACAAAGTAAAAAAAAATCACAATATTTTGAAGTAATCTGCATTCAGATAATTTTTACACTTAATAGTCTTTAAAGTTTTGCTCTAAGAACTGAAACAGAAACTCTGGAACTTATAAGGTAACATGGGTGTGTCTCATGCAAGATATATGATATATCTGCAATCAGCAGAGACATTAAAAAAACTGTCTATATGTCACAGGATGGATGAGTTAAAATACATTTACATATTTTAAATAAAAATAAAATTTCAACACAGAATTGAATTTTCGTTACCTGCAGTGCTCCATTTTTGCTGAAGGAGGAAACACACTGCATCAGTCGACTTAGCTCTTCAGAAACTGCTTCTACCACCTTGGACAGTACCCGAGGCACCAATTCTTTGGAAATAGTAAACACCTGATGGGAGTTTAAAATAAGAAAAATGATATACTCTAGGACTTTTCCTGGCCTGAATTTGTTAAAATCAAAAGGAACATGCAAAAACTACAAAACCCCATAGGTTTTCTTATTCATTTATTTATTATTTTTGGTAGCAGGAAGTGAGCCCAGGGGAGCTCTTACCACTGGGCTACATCTCCAGCTCTTTTATTGTGAGTCAGGGTCTTGCTAAATTGCCCAGGCTGATATTGACCTTGTAAATTTCCTGCCTCGGTGTCTTGAGTGACTGGGATTACCTGTATGTGCCGCTGAACCCAGCTCTAAGTCATATTTTTAATAATTCTATTTAAAAATACAATATAGACAGTTAAAATTTTGAGAGTTACTGTTGATGTGGATAAACTAAAATTTGATTTGAAGATTTCTTCCTCTTCCTATTCTTTCACAAAAAAACAATTTTTAGAGAAGAAATTAGAAAAAAATACACTCTGGATAAATATTTTGCCATAGTTTAAAAAAAACCACTGAGCCAAATATGGTGGTATGTGCCTGTAATTCCAGCTACTTGGGAGGCTAAGGCAGGAGGATCACTTATGCCCAGGAGACTGAGGTCAGCCTGGGTAGTAACAAGAGTGACACCTGATCTCAAATAAAACAAAACAGAACAAAACAAAACAACCCTGGTCAAACTTTCCTTAGAATATGACAAATACCCTACTTGCTGGTCCACTATTATGTATTGGACAAGATCCCCAGTTTTATTATATGTTGTACTAGATATATTTTTTTTTTTTTCATTTCACACAGCATTATTTTTAAACTTTTTAAAAAAGTTTGACACTTTTAAACTGGGAATTATCAGGAAATTTAATGAAACATTTTCCTTTCTGATTTAAAAATTCAAGTAAATTATATTTTCTTTTTAGCTTTTCCTATTTTTCAGATTGAGCCAACAGGATTAATTAAACCTTTGGGTCAACCCCTAACATGACTTGAGAGTTTAAGAAAATTTTGGCAATAATAAATATTATTAATGAAATTCTACTTTCAGTCATTGGGCTAAACTTAAAGAGGACTTGAATGCCTAATATTTATAAATAATCTCACAGCTATTGACAATGGACATTAATAAAAGCTGCCTTACCAGGCATGGTGCTACACACCTGCAATCCCAGCAGCTTGAAAGCCTGAGGCAGGAGGATCTCAAGTTTAGAGCAAGCCTCAGCAAAAGTGAGGCACTAAACAACTCGGTGAGACACTGTCTCTAAATAAAGTACAAAATAGGGCTGGGGATGTAGCTCAGTGGTTGAATGTCCCTGAGTTCAATTCCTGGTACCAATAAATAAACAACAAACAAACAAGTAAAAGCCATCTCATTAGAAATCAGCATGATCACCGTGTGCACACCTATAATCCCAGCAATTTGGGAGGCTGAGGCAGGAAGATGGAGAGTTCAAAGCCAGCCTCAGCAGACTAGCACTTAGCAACTCAGAGAGACCCTGTCTGTAAATAAAATATAAAAAAGGGCTAAGGTTAAGCACCCCTGGGTTCAATCCCCAGTTCCAAAAAAAAAAAAAAAAAAAAAAAAAAGAAATCAGTGCATGATCTTTCACATTCACAGTTCCCATGTATTTTGCAATTCCTCTGCTCACCTGCCACCAACATTTCTACCTGATGATTTTAATTTACATTTTAAAGGAAGCTAATAAGAGTTTCCTGATAGTTTTCATAAAATCTCAATTAAATTAATTGCTCATTATTAGATATATGTGATAAATTCCTGTCTTTGATATATAAAAACTTGATTTATAGAGAAAGTTATATGCTTCCCTTTTACTAAGAAATGAAAAATATAATATACTATTTTGCTCTATTGCTTCAAACTTAGAGCCAAATTCAGGAACCAGGTAACATTACCTTTGTTTTCTGTGATGGCTGTTTTACTTAATTATCCATGGTTTTTTGTTTTGTTTTGTTTTAGTTTACCTCCGTGACCTGAAATACTTCTGGATGGAGGAGACAAACATAAATCTAGAAACACCTATTTGGATGCAAACAGTTGAGGATGCTCTTGAGCATCTGTGCTCTTTGCTCTGTCCCATTTTATCTGGTTTCCCATCAGTCCGTGAGCCACAGTCACTCTGAAAGTGTTGGTGAAGCAGTGAGTAATGGACTATGAAACTACTTAATGAGAACAGGTCATCACAGTGGTGACAATGGTGGTAGCTGTGGTACCAATGTTGATAGCTCAATATTCCTCAGAAAGGCTCTCTTCCCCAACTAAAGATGTTAACACGAAGCAACATCTCCAAGAGCCTACACTATTGAGAGCGTCTGTTTCATTCGAAAACGTCAGACTACCCTGGGAGCCTGTCTTTCTAACAAACTTCTACTTTTCTGGAATCCCCAGAACTATGTGAGCCCATATTGCAATGTTAATGAAATACCAAAGCTTATTTGTGTTCTGACTAACAAGAGAATAATTTAATTTCCAAGATAAGGAATTTAACATTCTTTAAAGAAAAAATATCTTTTTCCATTCTATTTTTTCTGTACTTTCCAAATATTACTGAATTTAGTCTTAGTTATCAGAGAAAACATACATAACTTCAGAAAAAGACACACACACACACTCACAGAAAGAGAGAGAGAGAGAGTGAGAGAGCGCGCGCAAGCGCTGAGCTTTATTTTATTTATACCCAAGATACCTTCTGAAGGAGAAAAGAGATCACTATTAAAATCATCAAATTTCCCTTTCTCTTGTTTTCTTTCCTAGTCATCCACATTTCTTAGGAACATCTAATGATAGCTTACCTCTGCATGCACAGCAATTATATTCACCAAAGCTTCTTTTAAATAGTTTCTGACACCTGAAATCAAGAAGGGGGAGGGGATAATGCATTAAGTGGGAACACAAGTCAGCCCTCTCCCCTGCTAGCACTAGTGTGCACTGTGCAGCAAGCTGCCTTACAGTGTTCTGAGGAGAAACAGAAAGTAACACCAAACTATCAATTTCCTTTTGAGAACCAAATGGTGAAAGGACTATTTTCAAACAGGTTATAAAAAAAAAAAAAAAAAGGTTAAATTAGAAGTTTTCTTTCACTGTTTTTCATTTCTATCACTGTACACCTATATGCTCTCTGTCAACTATTGGTAACTTGGCCTCAAAATAAGTTTTTAAAAAATGTGTTTCTATTTCTTCACAAGTATATGAATAATAATGCAAAGGACAGAAGGAAGATTTTATTAAGGCTCATAAAATGTATATTTGTATATTAAATATCACAGCATTTAACTTCCCAAGGTAAAAGTCAAATTATTATGCAGACTGACTATTCTGATCTTAAGGAATCACTTTGAGGAGAAACTTCTCACAAAACCACACTGAATCTGATTCAGTAAAGCAAGTTTATGCTTGGACAAAACAAAGACTTCTGATTCTAGGTACAGAATCAAAAAGCACTATTCACTCAATAGTAGTACTCACAAGATTTATGAGTACAGGGTCTAAGGTCACACTGTTTTGAATCAATCCCCAGTTTTAACACCGAATAGTGTTGAAACACCTAATAGCTTTTGGTGAGAAGACTGTAAGCTTCAATTTTCTCAACTATTAAATGAGTAGAGTAAGTGCACCCTCTCTTATCGTCCTGTAATGAGGATTCAAAGAGATAATGTATGGGACAGGTATTCACACAACTCCTTAACAGCTTTCATGATCATTATTTTTCAAGAAAATACATAAAAACCAAATGCTATTTTATTGTAACTCCAAAACAACCACTGCCATTTAAATGGAATATTTTAGAATGCCTTCCAGAATTAACTACACCCCCTTAGAATACTTCCACTACAGAACAGAAAAAATGTTCTATATGCAAAATCATGGATGTTACTAGTAATGACACTAAGGACAATCTCTCAGAATGTCATATACACTTCTGAATATTTAGGAAAGTTGAGACAAAGACCATGAACTATAAACCAATTTTTTGAATCGGCATTTGTAGATTACTAATACATATCTAGCTTTTGATTTTATCATATAATATGGTATAAAAATAAGTGCACTGTTTTTCTTTTGAGAAGCCAATTTCATATGAATAGAGTTTCATATGAACCTATGATATGAAGTTCAGATGTTGTTGATAGGATAGCTGAGAAAGCAGAGTGAAGAGTAATTACATGTAATCCAGAAATTGATCCTTTCTGAGAAAAAAAAAAAAAAGGATAATTACAAGGGAAGAAGTTCTATGTGGGAGGTAGGACAGAAGACCTAAGGATCCTACTGTAAGTAAAGAGGGAAACAAACAAGCTTGGGAGATCACAACAGCATTCTTCTTGTCAGAGGAAAGCCACATCACAGAGTTCCTTTGGACTGAGAGTACCAGAGGGCTTGGCCTACTCTGACACCTGCTCTCTCCCAGAATTAGTGCAGGGTGCATGGAAGCCTGCTCTGGCTCCAGTGTCTGCGATCACTGTCTCATGTCTACTGCCTTTTAACTGCAATTCCTGTGGAAGATCAGCTCATATATATTTATATAATCAGTGTATCTAACATATAAGTAACTGATACTATACACATAATACTATGTTTTAAGGCACCAAGAGTCTCCATCCTCAGTGAAAATAAGGGTCCTGTTAATGCCACTATAAGAACACATGTCAGGAGTATGGGTTCTTGGGGTTCTAGCACTAGTGCCTAGAAACATGAAGACAGTTTTTGATTCTTAAATTTCTTAAATGTAAAAGATAAATTGAGCCAGAGTGGTGACTAAAAAAACAAAAATTAAATTCAGAATCAAGCAAGAAAATGTCACATGCTCTGTGACATCATATGCTATGAACTCAACTCCCACTCTGACCTTAATAGAAGAAATATTTCCTGGTAAGAACCATTAGACTAAGCATTACTAATAAAATACCCTTTAAAAGGGGGAAAATATTAGTTAATACAATTTTAAAGACTTAGCTGTGAACTATAAGAATAAAAGCAAAGGATACTCTTTATTTTTTTATTTATATATGACAGTGGAATGCATTACAATTCTTATTACACATATAGAGCACAATTTTTCATATCTCTGGTTGTATACAAGGTATATTCACACAAATTCATGTCTTCATACCTGTACTTTGGATAATAATGATCATCACATTCCACAATCATTTCTAACGCCATCCCCCTTCCCTTCCCTCCAACCCCTCTGCCCTATTTAGAGTTCGTCTATTCCTCCCATGCTCCCTCTCCCTATCCCACTATGAATCAGCCTCTTTATATCAAAGAAAACTTTTGGCATTTGGTTATTTGGGATTGGCTAACTTCACTTAGCATTATCTTCTCTAACTCTATCCATTTACCTGCAAATGCCATGATTTTATTCTCTTTTTTTGCTGAGTAGTATTCCACTGTGTATATATGCCACAATTTTTTAATCCATTCATCTATTGAAGGGCATCTAGGTTGGTTCCACAGTTTAGCATTGTGAATTGTGCTGCTACAAATAAACATTGATGTTGCTGTGTCCCTGTTAACCCAAAGAACCACATTTCTGATAGCAAATTTGAAACATGATCAAGCTTCCCATTTTAGGTTGACCACATGGATAATAATGTAAGAAGCACCTTGGATAAGTAAAAGAACTTTAGATTTCTTGGAAGGAGATTTTTTCATTATGGACAGGAGAAAAAAAGAGGAAATACCCCCCATCCCCCCCCCCACACACATGAAGTAACAACTGCTTCAAGTGGTGATATGGAGAAACTAAAGGGGAAATGTATGGTTCCAAGGATGGACACAAACAGGGATCCTACTCAAGACTTCAAGGCAGCCAGTAAGGGTCAGACAGATAGTATGAAAGAGAAGACCTCAAAAAAAGGCACACCAGCTTGATGCATAGCTTCATAAAGCATCATTTATGTCCCCCTAGGCAATTATAATATTTAAAACATAAAAGATTACTTCTCAAAAAAAAAAAAACAACTACTACCCACTGTGTTAAACACAGAAGTATTTTTTATTGCCTATTGTTCATTTTAAAAAAGTTACTAAAAGTTTTCACTTACTCATTTAATGTAATTTACTGAGACTCACTACATAGTGGACACCATTAAGTACACATCAGAAGCATTAGGTCCTTCATACAGAGGATCCCAATGTGCTTAGTTATTACAAGTTTGGCCCCAATTTACTCGTGTTGTGTGTTTATATTGCATATAGCAAATAGGTACAAGAGGGTTACATGAATGCGCTTGACATTGTAAAAAAATTCTTTATACTCTGATTTAAAATAATTTGCAAGACGTTTACTTGGTGTGAAGTTCTTAATTGGTTAAAGAACAGTATTGGAGTAGGGGTAAAGAAAGTCTGAGCAAAGGGCTAGAAACCAGGCAGTATCTGTGTCTGGGAAACTCATAAGATCTCTGTACTCTTCTAAGCTAAGAATTTTGATTTCTTTCTTTCTACTCTCCAACCACAGTTGGGAAGCAAGCAGCTAAACCAGATGTGCCACACACTCCTGTCTTTCACCTTCCCTGCACATGGTTCAGGGATCAACAGTAAGATGGCTGGACACAATCTTAAAATACTAACCTTTGATAAACTTCTTGGTTTTAATTGCCCATTGAGTTTTCTGTTTTAAAAAGCTCAAAATATGTTAGTAGGAGGATGTCAGATCTTTCAAAGACCTGTACCCAAAGCCAGGTGCTGTTGGTCCCCTAGCTCACTTGCTCCTTGTGGTACTCCACCTGGTGGCAAACATAGCTGGCAATAATGTGGCAATGTACTTTTCCAACTGGACAAATTAAAATACAGTTGGCCTCTTTTTCAACCGGTTCTGCATCTACAAATTCAATGAACAGTGGATTGAAAAAAAAAAAAAAAAAAAAGCAATTATAATGATTTTGTACACACTGTTTATTTGTCATTATTCCTAAACAACACAGTACAGCAACTATCTGTATAGCATGTATTCTGTAATAGGTATTATAAGGAATCTAGAGATGATTTAAAGTATATGGAGGATGTGTGTAGGTTCTATGCAAATACTAGACAATCTTATATAAGTGACTTGAGCATCTGTAAATGCTGTTATCTGTGGGGGTTCCTAGAATCAATTCCCCACCTCCGGAAGCCAAAGCTCCTCTAGAAGCCATAGTGAAAGAATGTGGATCCAAACAAACACTGAGAGGTGACTGAGACCACATTAAGGCTTGGGAATGTGAGGATGGGTCTCAACTGTGATCTCATGGGCACTAACTGACCCCACGGTTTCTTCCTTCAATTAGAGGACTGGAAGAAGAAAGACAGAAATGCTGAGGAAGATGTCACCTGAGAAAGACATACATGTTGCCAGGAAGCTGTAAATGCATCTATTACAACAAATGTCCAAGGCCTAAGTGAGAGGAGGAATGAAGTGTAGAGTGAATTTCAAAGGACCCTGGTTTTCATATCTGGAGACAGAACCAGAATATGATTTTTGGTGATAGCATGATCTTCAAAAGGTCCAAGATTGTGTCTGAGGGACAATATTATGTTAATTTGGATGGTATATGTTGTTTCCCTTTCCACTGCATTTATTATAATTGTAATATTATTAGTATCAATGGTTGATAATTACCGTTAAGTTCAGAGAGGTGACAGAAAGGACACTTGGGATCTAAATTCTGCCTTACTTATATACGACTTATATGACCTCAGAAAACACAACTTATTTTCCAGACAACTGTCAACTCTGAAATACAGAAATTATATCTCATTCTTTAATATTTGTGCATCTAATATGTGCTAGGTACCTCCAGGTGGTGGTATCCCAAAGTAAGCAAAACAGATGCAACCCCCAACCCCTAGCCCTAAAGGAGCTTAGAGTTC